CTCTTTTATGAACAGGAGGGAACGAAGCAGCACCTTTGATGTGATTTTTTTTTCTTTCCTTTTTTTTATAATCGTAGTTCTTTGAATTGATTTGTATTTCATGATTGTTCCAAATTTCATTATAAATTATTTTTACAGAAAAAAAAAGCTAAAAAAAAAGTAAATCTATTAAAAACAGACAAAACTTCGGAGTCACATAGATCAGGAGTATATCAGGTGTATATTGGTCAAACAGGGAGAACATTTTCCCAAAGAATTGAAGACTATAAAAGTAGTTTTGTGTTCACAAATAGAATCTATTTACAAATAGAAAGACCAATTCCACATTTGAAAATCACCTTTAAGCAGAATGACACTAGATGTTAAGAAATTTAGATTCAGAAATTCGGGTAATTTACTGAATGACCAATTAGTTACTAAATATTTTTTCAAATGTGGAAGCTGGTAATTTAATTCATTTCAAACTCAGGTAAAAATCAGGTACTTGAAATGTTGGTACTTGAAATTATAGAATAAGGTATATTTAGCATTGAATATGTAAAATCAGTTATTGAAGACACGCCCGTGTTGCGTTTTTTGTAAGATCGTCTAGTGAATACGTTATGATTCATGAGTTTTTTTCCCAACAAAAGAGTGGATAAGAATGATTCTCAATAAATTATTTATTATGATGAAAATAGAGAAAAGTGCTTGATGATACCCCAATCCAGATCCCTTTCATAACATAGAAATTACACACATACTTCAAGATATTCATACATTTTTTACAAACAGAGGAAAGGCGCCTAAGGCGACAATGAAAAATAAATGAAAAATTTGTGTAGCAAGCAAATACATATTTTTTTGGCTAACAAAAAATACAGTTCAATATTTTTTTATTGCAAATGCATACTCTAAACTACACAGTGACCACAGAGTACTTAATGAGTGCGCCAACAGTAGGGGAGACCGGGTACAAAAGTAACAGCGGGTCGAAAGTAACAAATGTTCTCTAGATTGATCCAATAGACGAACACCGCTTTACCGCCGTCAGACGATAGCCAAAAGCGCCCCCTCAATTGAATTCAGTCGTCGCGTGCGTCATGCGTCGTTAGGCTGTGTGACAGGACGTGTTTTCACAAATCAAAAGTAAATTTTTAGACGTATTCTTATTGAATGTTTACGAAGTCTGAAAAGGATGATAGTAATCTGAATATTTGCATATCCATTCTTGATTAGAGTGATTATATATTGCTTAAATTCATTTTTGTATAGCACGTTCCGTTTAAAGGTTATGTTGGACGTTTTGACAAAAATGTGGACGGGTACAAAAGTAACATATCCCTATGGGTACAAAAGTAACATGTTACTTTTGT